TCTCTTAACGGTTGGGGTTTGCATACGTCGTGGTTTGCACACGTCGTGCAAACGCCCTTTTCTGTTTCGACGATTACTGATTGTTGTGCGTTCGTCAGATCGTTGTGACTTCTCGTACAGATGCGACTGTCGCAGAACGAAATGTATTTCACCTATTCATAATAAAGTTTTATTCTGTTTTTCTTTATCTATAGCTACACTGTGCATCTCCTACTGCTATCCTATTAACAATATAAACGAATACTTTGTAATAAGAAGTATTACTTCTTCGCCTTCACTAAACCTCAGAAGAATATGTTGCCTTTTTATCTCGAATTGTTTTTTAAAAAGAATGAATTTATTAAAGAAAAATGTGTCTAAACGATGATCAAAAGCTGTTTTCAAATATTAATCAGTTTGAAACATTAGCATCTTTGAAAAAGTGTATTGAATCTAAATCATATACAGTCACAATAATTTTATTTGCTAACATTCCGCATAAACTCAGGAATTATGACAAAATTTGAGAAAAGCAATAGATAAATTAAGGATTTGGGTTTCTTTATGCGAAAAAGAAACTTAATCCATGTGTAATGCTACAATAAAGGAAAGCATGTTTGCAACCTATACAGTACATTTTTGCAAATACATTTCTGCAATAGAAAAACAATAGTAGATTCAAGAGATGATTGTAATGATTACAGGTTGTTAAATATGTATATACGAAAAACAATACAGATGTAACATACAAACATTAAAGTAGATGATGTTACTTCATTTTAATTATTGCATTTTTTTTACAGACTAGTTTCCGCAAATATTGTCTAAAATTTTCGTTGACCAAAAATGATTAAAATTAAAATTATAAATATATTTGCGATTACATATTTTCAAGGGTCATTGCTGGTAGTTGGTCTGGTACTATTCGATTTTAAGGCAATTTATGTCAAGTATGTTAGCACTCGTCTTCTCCATTCCGTGGCCAGATCCTTCGGGACAAAGTCTTTATTTTTTCGGCAATACGACGTCGAGTCATCTGTCTCTCTCCATCCATAAACAATTAATACCTCGATACGCGATAGCTTGAGACCCAACGTGGTCGTCCGCTGTCACATCGCCTGCCGCCAGAACTGTTTAGTCTCATTCACTCTGCAGGCCACATGTACTCCAAAACCCTGTCATAAATCTATCGTAGACCAAGCGTCTTTCGGTTGTCCTTACCTTCAACTCTCTTCAAAAATACATTGCCGCTAACGAGTACTTAAACTGCGTGTGGTCAGTGAGCATGAGTATCGAGGGTTCGATTGTTCAAAATAAGAGAGCTGTTGATGGCAAGCAATTGATGGTTGGGTTGCCTCACAGAATAGAAATAATATTCCTAAGAGCGAAGTGTAAATAGCAAGGATTTACTCCAGATCTTTCTTAGAAAAGCGTACATGTTCGAGTGATTCCATTGACAAGTTTACATGGATTTTGAAAATATAATTCAGTGATTAGTATCCTAGAGTATACAAATATATTGAGCAATAAAAGTTACAAAAAAAAATCAAACATACTATATACAGAGTGCATATCCTATTGCACCATTATACCAGTTTCGCTTGTAGGTAGCTACGGCACTGCCGCGCCGAGATAAGCAAGCGATGGCCGCGTGGCGGTAAAACGTCGTGCACGCGTTGCAAATACACATTTTCTCGACCTGTGACAATTGAGAACAGCTTTTACACTTCTGTTGGACAGTTTCTTCTTTAGAAATGTCTGCAGAATCAGATCCTGTGTATAGATTTCGTGTCAGGTAAACAACTTTTCGTAAATATGCAAAAGTATTGTGTATAAAGTATGTACTTCGACACTTTTTCAAACTTTGGCGATCATTTACAACCGTTCGAAAGTACAAAATATTATAACTATCGATGTTAGCATATTCAGGAATCTCTCCTCTATCTTTTAAGATTAATTGGAACTGTCTGATGTTTTTAATTTTCGCGTAATACCTCGCTTTTGCCCAAAATTGTACGTTTTCACAAAAACTCGTGTTTTTCGAAAACTGAGGGTGATACAGCAATTCCATTTTCAGATTCGTGTTTAGGGTACAAAGCTCTACAAGAATCACCTAGTGGGTATTGAAAAACCGAAAAAAAATTGAATTTGTAGAACAGTGTAATCAACCAAATAGTTTTGTGGTCAGATTCAATGATCGTGCTGCATTGGATAGACACACTCCCTCACACACTCAAACCGTTCGTCGCTAATAGAGTCACGAACATTCAGAAAAACACAAGGCACGCACAATGGTGGCATGTATCGTCGTAAGACAATCCCGCAGATTGTTTGTCGAGGGGCATAGACCCCATCGAATTAAAAGAATACGAAGCGTGGTTTACGGGTCCTCGATGGCTGAGGGATTCGCCTGAAACATGGCCAAATCTTGAGCGAGTGGCTATCGAAGTCCCAGAACGTCGCGCAATAATAACCCTAAACACTCAGACCAATACATTATCAAAATATTTCGACAGATTCTCATCCTTCTACAAACTGCAACGAACGATCGCCTACTGTATTCGGTTCTGCCACAATGCAAAAAGGCTCTCGAACGCGCAGGAAATACAGGTCGCGACCACTCGCATCATCAAAATATTTCAAGAGGCAGAGTTTGATGAAGAATTACGGGGACTTCGCGAGTCAAACAAACCGCACAAGGGCAGGCTAGCCTCACTAAACCCCTTCTTAGACAACGAGGTTGTACTTCGCGTCGGCGGTAGAATCACGCGAGCCACGATCGCACACGACGCGAAACACCCGATCATTTTACCTTTGCAATCGCACATTGCAACATTAATCATACGACAATTTCATTTAAAGCATTTTCACTCAGGAGCACAGGCCACTTTAAACGCCAGTCGTCAATATTATTGGATTACTGACGGATTAAGCAACGTAAAAAAATACATACGGAGCTGCATCGTGTGTCATCGCGCAAGGCCTCGTCTACCTGCCTACCAAATGGGTAACCTACCCATAAACCGCGTTACGTTCGAGCGCCCGTTTCTGTCCACCGCACAGTGGTCCCAAATGCCGAAAAGTTGGCCATAATATGTAGGAGTTCTTCAATTTAGCTAAAAATTTGTAGGTAGGGGTTATCGAGGTCGCTGATTACGAATCAAAAGTCAGAATTTAAAAAAAACAAAATGGCGGCTCCGATATAGCTCACACATATGCGAAAGAAATGTCGGAATTACCTGAAATTTGATACATAGTTACTATCGAGGTTGCTGATTACGAATCAAAAGTCAGAATTTAAAAAAACAAAATGGCGGCTCCGATATAGCTCACACATATGCGAAAGAAATGTCGGAATCACCTGAAATTTGATACATAGTTACTATCGAGGTTGCTGATTATGAATTAATGGAAAAATTACAAATAAATAATCAATTGCATTTATTAAATGAAGTGTCTCCAAAACATCTTACGCCAATTACATATATACTGCTAAGTTTCAAGCAGAATCATCGGAATCATATTCATTATCAGATATGTCGCTTTCTGTGCTGGATTCTGTTATTAACATTTGTTGATTAAGGTTTCGTTAAAAAGTTATAGAAACATTTCCGGCCACACAGTATATTTTCGGTAAAGAATTTTTTTCTCGAAAACACGTCGGATTTCGGAGGTATGTGTATTCACCAAAAGTGATTATAATTGAGCCCCGCAACCACAAATAATTTTTTCAGAATGATTTGAAATTTTTTAATTTAATTTTTTAATAACTTTTTAATGAAGCCTCAGTGAAGAAATTGATACTCTTGATTTTCGTCTTATTTTGGCCTCTAGAATCTCCCATTAAAATTTTTCCCAGGGGTGGCCGAATACCCTGTATAAGTAAAAAATCTAAATGAAAACGAAAGAAAGAGAAAACGAAAGGCAATACCGCACAAATGTTTTATGTCTGTCATAAAGTCAGGCAGGTATAAGGCACAATTTACAGCTTACAGCAGTGCCTTCATATTATTTGATTCTTAGTGCTTTTACATGGCAAATGCGAAAAAATGTTTTAGATTGGAATTCTCAAATTTTATTAACTATTTTCGAAATAAATAATTTTTCATGTAAATAGTTTAATGCAGATTTATAGTCAATAATGAAGTAGATCAACTGGTTCATTGAAAAATATACAATATTTAATAATGAAAAATTATTTATGCATTAATTTAAAAATTTATTAAATCTAATAATAAGTCCACCCAAAATTATACATTATTTATTTTAAAAAATTTGTTGTATCTGCCACAGTTTCCAAGAAAAAACCGCGTGATTTAGTAACGCGGTCACCCTCCATTATAAAATAGGGTGGTACGACTTTACTTGCAAAAACTTGCAGCTAATTCTTGCAAATTCTGCAAGGTGAAAGTATCACATACAAGCCTCAACAAAAATGGCAGTGGGATATTGAGGAATGAGCAACTTTTTGCCTACTTGTTTGCGATGCATGCATGAAATTTTACATTTTATTTTCAGTAATGAATGTACCGGTTTAAAAAATTAATGGATAACAATTTTTAATATGTTAGTACTCAGAAATGTTCTACTTACTTCCAGGAACAGCATCCATTTTGCAGAATTGAAATTGATGTCTTCTAAAAAAACTTATGCACTTTTCACTCTGTGGTACGAATTGACGCTTACGCTCTCGACAAACGACTGACTAACGAAGCCGAAGTTTGGATCGCAATTGCCATCCAGGTATAAAAATATGACTCATTTCATTTTCCCTACCCTAAAGAGACATCCTTAAACTGCCGATTCCAACAGGTAAAACCTCCATACCGAAAAATTATTTTTTGGGGTTTTGGCCACGTTTTCACGATTTGGGACCACTGTGCACCGGCGTAGACTATTGCGGGCCCGTTCTATTAAAAGAGAAACGCCTTCGCAATACAAAGACGATCAAGGCCTACGTGACAATATTTGTTTGCCTCGCGACAAGGGTCCTACACGTGGAACTATTAAGCGACTTGACCATGGAAGCATTCTTAGCAGCATTAAAGCGATTTTTTGCGAGACGGGGAAAAGCGGCTCACATGTTTTCCGACAACGTCAAGACCTTTGTTGCAGCTGCCCGTGAATTGCGCGAATTACACAGGTCATTCATTCAAGTCACAACCAATCCCGTTATCCGGGAGTACATGGTGACCGAACAAATAAATTGGCATTTCATACCACCACGCGCCCCTCACTTTGGCGGAATTTGGGAGGCCGCGGTAAAATCTCACTTAATTATAGTAGTTGGTAAGACGGTATTAACGTTTGAAGCCATGAATACTTATTTAGTCGAAATAAAGTCCATATTAAACTCGCGTCCTATCACTCCACTATCCTCCGACTCGAGGGACCTATCCGCCCTCACCCCTAGTCATTTCCTCATCGGTGACGTAACAGCAAATATTCCGGAGCCGATCGTACCTCAGCTGCCAGCGAACAGGCTGAAGATGTGGTCACACGTCCAGCAAATGAGACAACATTTCTGGACGCGCTGGCACAAGGAATATTTGCACCAGTTAAATGTTCGCAGCAAATGGCACAACAACAAACCCGTGGATGTAAAAATCGGCACTTTAGTGATCGTCAAGGAGGACCACCTACCGCCCCACTGCTAGCCACTTGGACGGATCACAGCCCTACATCCTGGAGAAGACCAGATCGTCCGGGTCGTAACGGTAAAGACAATTGGGGGCGAATAAAAGCGGGGAAATCCATTTAGAATGATCAAAAAATGCATTTTTTTTTCTTGCATAAAATGTTAGCTTAACATTTCAGGAATATAATTCCAAAGTTTGAAATTGAAATTCGAAGACGTTTTGAAGCTACAGCTAATGAGCGTGATGCGCCTCTTGAGGCCAGGTAGCGCGCCGCAAGTATACGGGCACGCTTGGCGCAGAGCTTTCCACTTTTTATTATTCCTACATTTTATTATTCGTTATTTGGAAAAGCAGGTATGTCTCCGAACCGGGTATTTCCGACGGTCTATTGTTCACATTTAACAAGTGACTGTCGTCGTCAGTTTCTCTCTGAAATTTAGCCTGTGTGGACGTATTTTTCGAGAGTTTCGTGTTATTTTTCATCGAATTAATATGTCTTATCCGAAAGGTAGCCAAGAAATATCAGATCGCGCATCAAAGAGGCGCAAAAGATCATTTTCGGGTAATCAGTTTACTAAAAAAAGTGATAAAAGTGAAGAAGGAAGTACCAGTGCGAGCAGCAAAAAAATTTCAACAAGCAATGTCTCCGATATTCCATGGAATCCTTTACACCATTATCGCATAATCGAATGGTACACTGTTTTTGCAACTTTGTCACAGATGGTTCTTTGTTGCGAGTGCAAACAAACTTTGACCTTTGAAGAAGGTGCACATTGAGGCCTCGGATTTAAATTAATTTTGATGTGCCGTTGCGGGCGAAGAAATATTAACTCAGGCCCTTTAATTAACACTGGATATGAAGTGAATCGACGAATTGTTTTCGTAATGCGACTTTTAGGCCTCGGTAGAGAAGGCATCAATTTATTTTGTAATATAATGGGCATCTGCAACGGTTTAAACGAGAGCACGTATAATAATATCATCATGCATATTCATTCGGTTGTAACCTCCGTCTTTGAATGCCTAAGCAAGAAAGCTGTGGACCAAGAAAGGAAAGTGAATGAACAAAATGATCGGCCAATTTTGAATTTGAAAGTATCCGGCGATGGTTCTTGGAAGAGACGTGGCTTTAAGTCATTATATGGTGTAACTACGCTTATAGGTTATTATTCCGGTGAAGTTATCGATTTCGTAGTTAAAAGCAGTTACTGTCAAGCTTGTACAGCTTGGAAAAGTAAGCAAGACGATCCATGTTATGAAGAATGGTTTGAACAACACGAGGAGGAATGCGCAAAAAATCATACCGGGTCAGCAGGCAAGATGGAAGTTGATGCAATGAAAGAAATGTTTTTAAGATCAGAGGAGAAATTCGGCGTGAAGTACAGAAATTATATCGGGGATGGAGATTCTAAAACGTATAAAGCGATATTAGATATAAATCCGTATGGTGACGATTTTCCAGTTAGCAAAAGTGAGTGCGTCGGACATGTGGAGAAGAGAATGAGCACACGACTCCGAAACATAAAAATAAAGGAAAAGCTCGGTGGCAAAGGGAAATTAACTGACACTTTAATAAAAAAGCTTACAACATATTATGGATTAGCCATTCGAAGAAATTCAGACAATGTAGCTGATATGAAAAGAGAAGTAATGGCTACTTTTTACCACTTATGCTCGACTAACGAAAAACCACAACACGAGCACTGCCCACCAGGCGAAGATAGCTGGTGTAAGTGGCAAAAAGGAATAACGACAGGAGTCAATATGAAATTATTCGAGCATCCCCCTCCTCTTGACAAAGAAGTTGCTAAATTTGTGTTGCCAATATACGAGGATTTGTCAAAGGAAGATTTATTAAGTAGATGTTTAGACGGTCACACGCAAAATGCTAATGAAAGCTTTAACGCAACAGTCTGGCGTTTGACCCCTAAACATCTTAATTCCGGACGTAAAATAGTCGAAATTGCTGCGTATATAGCTGCTGCTATTTTCAATGAAGGCTACGTAGCAGTTTTGCAGATTATGGCAGAGCTGGAATTAAGGGTAGGCAGTCAAAGCAAAAAGTACGCCAAAGAAGTAGACGACCGCCGGCTGAATCGTCAGGGGCGACGCAGCTACCTGTTAACAAAACGCAGCCCGAAAAGCGAGAAAAGATCAGCTTGCTAAAGAAAATGAGTATTTCGAGGACGAGGAAGGAGTATTTTATGGCCCTGGAATTGCTAATTAGTCGGTGAGTTGAAAATATCATGTAGTTTTCATGAGTCAAAACTTTACACGCGTTTTTCTCGAAACGTGACTTTTCACATTGGTGTAACGTGTAGCAAAAAAACTATTTGACCGATCATTCTGAAATTGTTATCACATCTTTATAACACAATTACCTTATCTATGAACCTAATTGTTTTTAAACTAAACAAAAAGAAATTACTTTTTTATTGCAAAAAAGAGAAAGAAAATAGCCTAAAAAATGAACTTTTATTTTAAGTGCATAAAAATATCGCAGTTTTCAATTTTTTAGAATTCTATTTAGGTTCATCGATAAACTACAAGTATAAACTTTGTACTCATTTTTTTTTCAGAAGCTTACAGAGGACGCTACAAGTCACACCCGCACACGAGTTTTTTCCCCTGCGCCTACCTCCGGCCTTGAATCTTATACCGTGCCGCCATTTTTCAATAAAATTAAATGAAAAAATTCACGATTATTGACTAATACGTACTTAAATAAATGCCAGAGTTTAAAAAACGTACCACTTTGTAAGCGTTAAACCGTTTACTGCGAATCTTTATGTTTATCGACGTGCCCGCTAAGTTGCGGGAATATACAGACCGCCCCTCTCTCCCCGCGCTGAGAGAGGACATTCCGTTGTAACGGCTCCCGAATTTTCGGGAGCCGAGAACAGTCGTGTAGAACGTTCCGACAAGGATATCCTTCTCACCACTACTATTTTCAATACACGAGCTACCCATGATTTACTATCATTTTATTCATTTTTCCAACGTTGCCACCTCCCATTCGACCATTTTTGGGCATATCCGCCCACAGTTTTCTCAGAAGTGGGATTAATTCACGTGTCGCGCTTGTCTCCATTTTGACCACATGTTAACGTACTTTTGTGTTGTTGCGTTTAAGGCATTTGAACGGTTCCACGAAGATTTTATTGTTTTGACCCTGTTTCTGCGCTGGCTGAAGTGATTGGTCGGTCGGGCGTACATTGTGGGTTCGTGAATTTTTGTGGATTTTTAGTTATTTAGACGTGTGGTGATCGTTCGAAATTTTTAATGGTTTTCAAGATGGCGACGAGGGAGCCTGCCGAATATACGGTATCGGAACTAAAAGGTATGTTAAAACACCTGAATTTGGGTACGAGTGGTACCAAGGCAGAACTAATTAACCGCTTGACGGCGTACGATGCCGATATCTGGACGAATCTGCCATTTCCGTACAATGATACGGACGGAACGAGGTCATCTGCTCATACTCCGGATGAACAGGGCGGAGGAGAAAATTTTTTAACAGCTGACGAACCTTCTTTTGATCGTCGAGAAATTGAATTATTAAGACGCGAAAGAGAGTTGCTAGAACGAGAGATTCGCGTTTTGCGAAGGGAGAGAGCTGCTGATGCTCCGCCCCTGGTGACGAACGCAGACCGGGATATTAGCACCATCAGCAATTTATTATGTGAATTTTCGGGAACCGAAGATTGCTTTCCGAGGTGGAGGAACCAAGTAGAGATGCTGCAGAGGACGTATCGGCTAGACATCGAGAGAACCAAACTCCTGATAGGAACCAAATTGAGAGGAAGAGCATTAAAGTGGTTTTACTCCAGACCGGAATATATGGAGATGTCCGTCGCTGAACTTTTTGAGGAGATGTCCGCCATGTTTGTCCATCGAGTACTACTTCCATGATAAAGTTATCCTGGCAAATCGAGTTCCGATTGACGATGCCGAAATAGTTGATTATTTAATCGAAGGCATTCCCGATGAGCGCCTCCGCGACCAGGCGCGATTACAAGACATCGCCACTAAGGCGCAATTTTTGAAAGTTTTTCAAAAAATCACCCTGCCTTCGAGGAGAAGGGAGAAGGAGCGGTTCGAGAGGCCATTTGCAGCGAGGAAGGGCCGCGAACCGTCGCGTGCACAACCACCAGCACCAGCGGGGAGTCAGCGACTACGTTGTTTTAATTGTTTCCAGTTCGATCATCGTACGATGGATTGTCCGCGGCCAAGGCGGGCAAGAGGATCCTGTTTCGAATGTGGAAGCACGGAGCACCGCGTGAAGGACTGCCCGAAAAAGAGATCTCCAGCAACCACGACGAATTTGGTGCATTGCACATCGACTGTTACTCCGTACGAACTCCCGTTGACGTATGTAGCGATTGATGATAATGGGGTGCGTAAAACATTTAATCTTCTTGCTCTGCTCGACTCCGGTTCCCCGGTAAGTTTAATAAAAGAACGTTGTGTACCGCGCAGCTCTCAATTACCGGTGTCGCCTAATAATTATAATCTTTGCGGAATCAATGGCTCGAAGTTGATCGTGTTAAGCTCGTTTCGCGGAAATATGACAGTTGGTTCGATCGACGTTAGCCTATCATTTTTAGTTGTTCCGAACGACACAATGAGTTTCGACGCGTTATTAGGCAGAGACTTTATCTCTGACCCGTCGCTAGAGATTATAATCGGAAAGGCCATCGAACTAAAACGCGTTACTCGCGTAGACGAAACCATGCAAGTGGTTCGCGAAATTATGAACATTGATTGTGTTGCTGGGCCCGATGATGCACTTCCACAGTTAGACGTCAATCCACTTATCGGTTCCGAGATTGCTGCAAAAACCCGAGAAAATTATAAGAACGCGGTGAACGCGAATATAGATCAGGCGCCGGTTGATTTTGAGATGCATATCCGGTTGAAGCATGATCAACCCATTACCTCTCGTCCGAGACGCTTGTCCTTTTCGGATCGAGAAAAATTGAAAGATATTCTGGAAGGGTTGAAGAATGAGGGTGTGA